ACGGCAGCAGCCAGAACACATCCAACGACAGCGACGGCGACGACGACACGGCCGACTACGAAGATCCCTTCGCACCGGGGAAGTCCACGCCGCACGAAGGTGAGTCGTTTTTTAGCGAACATTCAACAATACATTTACAGCTCTTGCGCCGTCTGGCGTCATCTGATAATCAACATTAATAGTCAACTCGGTAGTAGCAAATGATTGCTAACCCAATCGAAATTGTCAACACAAAAATCAGGTAAAAAATACTATGATACAAATATCAAGAGCAATTGAATATTTATAAATTACGAGTATATAGGATAATAAAGTCTTTAATTATATTATTTGTAATTTGGTCTTTAGAACTAAGATTCGGAGGTAGTTTGTAGTGTAGATTCTCCTGTGGTTCGCAAAGTCTGGGCAGTCTATAATGAATAATATTCTGAATGGTAAGAGGAAGCAACATTGTTAGATCTTCGGTAGCTCGTTCTTGAGAGAGAAGGAATTTTAAGCAGTTCGATATTTGGTTGAATATCACAGAGTTTCTATGAGATTGTATCCCATTTGGTTATCCATCTTTTAACTTTATTTTTGAAAAAGTTTTGGATGTCTGTATATAGGTGTATGTTTTTCGCTGACAAAGAAGCCTCTTTAGCTGCACGGTTGGAAGTCTTATTGCCTGGAATACCCGTGATAGTATCCAAATTACCAGTATGGATACTCCTTGCTTAATAAGAAGATGCATGCTGCTTGGGCCACTGAATTTTGTTAAGAACGATTTTTTATTAACATAATTGATGTAAGTAGTATAAGATCTAACGGCCGCACGGTACGATTCGCCTAAAATTTTGTGAAGTTGTTGGCGGGAGTATCAGGAAGTGTCATCTGAAAAGGAGACGTCCGACAACTCAAAGTTATAAAAAATATCGACTAAAAAAACGATAATACGTAATTTTTTCAATTTTCCAATATTTACAAAATAAATAAATATAAAAAAAAGACTGCTTTCATCGGGAATTGAAGCCCGGTCACCAAATGCAGGTTGAACGCATGTTGAGAGTGCTTAACTATGTGAGTCATGGATACTTATGTGAGTTATCTAATCAAACATGTGTATTGCACATTTCTACAAAAAATTACAAATTGAAGGCTTCTGGCAGCTCTTTAGCAGTGGCCTAACCATCTGACTATTTGCTTACCTCATATGTTACCTTCAAAGAGGTGATATGTAAATTTTCAGCCGGAGGTACGATCTTTTTTTTATCCGATATTTTTGACAACAATGAGTTGTCTGACGTCTCCTTTGCAGGGATTCTAAACTAAATATTTGCAGATGACACTTCCTAATGGTCCTACCTTAAGGCCGGTAGCTCTCAGTCTAAAGCGAGTCTGTGTAAATGTCCACTCTTCTAGAATTTGTTTTGACGGATTTTAATGTTTGAATAACATTAATAAAAATGTTTGAAAAAAGGTAAAAAAGTTTTTTATTATAGATAGATACGTATTGTCAGTTAAACACAATTATAAGCCATTAAAATTTCTCCCATCGTCTCGACCATTGGTAAAATGCACAATTATATGAATTAAAAAAATTGAAAACTTTTTTAATTGGAAATTTTATGTTTGTTGTTTTTGTTTAGTTCTCAATTCGGCATTGGGATCAATGGGTGGGATGGACGACGATACTTCAGAAGTTGCAGAGGATCCAACCGACTGTTTATCAGATCAAAAAACGGCCTTATCAGAAGGATATATGTTGTATGTGCCAGTATGTACGCCTGATGGACGATATGAAAAGGTAGAAGCACCTGTAATACAATTTTTTAGTGCCGATGGTTTTCTTGTGGTTGAAAAATCAAATGAAAAATTTTAAAATTTCGGTCTTTCGCTTCATTTAGAAATTATTTAAAATATTCAACAAATGATTTTCCTGTAATGTCATTGTAAAATATACATATTTTTTGACCGCAAATTAATACTAAATACGCCTCTGTGCAGGCACAAGCCCTTAGCACAGATTATCCAGATGCGAAACCCGGCAAAACATAAAATGATTTTGGAATGAGATTTCTGACCTTGAACTTTAAATGGGTATAGGTGTTGAAAATCCTAATTATTTTCAATCATTCTCACTAAATATGACTTTCTTCTAAACATATTGGATGCCAGGGTTGGTTTAGGTAATTAATGGTTTATTGTAAAGTAGTAGCACTTCTGATGTTTAAAAAGTTGTCGATGGAATTTTCATTTTAAACATAAATGACACACAAAAATTCGTCTTTTTAAAAAAATAGATGGGTTTCAAAAGAAATGGTATACGATTTGTATTAATATTTAAAAAAAGTGTATTTCAGTTAAACAGTTATAACAAACAAGTTATAATATAATGTATTGGTTCAAAAGGTTTAAAAAGTATGTTTATGAAGAAATTCACGGAATGAAATCATTAATTTCTTTACAATAAAAATGGTTTTGTGTCATATTCAGTGCTTTCATTTCAAAACCAGCCAGTCGAAATAACTTCTCATTTTCGTAAATTTAAGAAAACAAAAAACACCACCTTTTATTAGCAAGGAGATGAATAATTGTCATATATAAAATTCATACCCAGAAATACAACTCCTGGAGTCCGGCAGCAACCCCCTATTTTTTTAAATAGTATATGGTTAAGTAATACAGCATTTGAAAGGTAATTTTGTGGAGAATTTAGCAATATGACTATTCATTTGACGCCCTGTTTTTATCGGGACAAAAAACTGTTACGTATTGTAAGTTGTGACACTTAAGCTAGTTTTAATAATAATTTAATGCACAATATATCAAAACATTTTAATGAAACATAAACTTAAATAATTTAAAAATCGTGCAGATCTATAACGTTAAGAAATATAAACTTTAATCACACTTAACTAAAATAACAAATTTAAGATACCACTTTACAATATGTTTTTATCCCGCTAGAGGACGCTAAAATCAAAATTAACGAATTGAATAGTCATATTGCCAAATTATTTATAAACCCAGACAGCACACATAGTCCAATGAACGTCCATTTTAGATGCATCTGAGGGCCAGAACGTCCATATCCGTATTCGGACATCCAGTGTACGTCCGTTTATGATCATTAATTTGACAGCTGCATATCGATGCCCAGAGGACGTCTGTTTTTGGATTTAATTTTAAGTTTAGTATTATTTTGACGTCCAGTGGACGTCCATCTTAGATCATTATTTATTTAGCTTACCAGATAATACCCATCTATATATAAACACTTTTTTTAAGAGAATTGTCCATTAAAAATTGACAAATTAAATCAATTACGATTCATTCTATCAGCAGAAGTTTGAAATCTTATTCTATTAAAGTAAGAATTTTTCAAGTGGCTCCTTGATCGAAGTCCCTAGATTGAATGCTTAGAACGACAATGGACGTGTTGTGAGGTCGATCCCTTCTCAGATCAAGTGAATTTTTAATTAATTAATTTAGCAGGTTGCGAAAATATTAAATAAATCCTACTAATATATAAATGCGAAATTTTGGATGGATGTGATGTATGTTTGTTGCTCAATGACGCAATAACGGCTGGAATAGCACATAGGCTACTTTTTATCCCTGAAAAACATACGGATCCTGTGGGATAGATTTGTTTTTCTTCTTCACAGACATGATTTTTTGCATAGTGGTAGTGAAACATGAAAATTTGAAATACAGCTACTGAGCATAAATAAATAATGACGTGTTTAAGGGGTTTTAGATTTTCACATTTTAAGGGGGGAAAACGGGGGTTAAAAGTTCGTATGGAAGCATCGATTTTTTTAAAGGTAGGAACTTGAAAATTGAAAATATATAAAAATAAATAAAAATAAATAAAAATAAATAAAAATAAATAAAAATAAATAAAAATAAATAAAAATAAATAAAAATAAATAAAAATAAATAAAAATAAATAAAAATAAATAAAAATAAATAAAAATAAATAAAAATAAATAAAAATAAATAAAAATAAATAAAAATAAATAAAAATAAATAAAAATAAATAAAAATAAATAAAAATAAATAAAAATAAATAAAAATAAATAAAAATAAATAAAAATAAATAAAAATAAATAAAAATAAATAAAAATAAATAAAAATAAATAAAAATAAATAAAAATAAATAAAAATAAATAAAAATAAATAAAAATAAATAAAAATAAATAAAAATAAATAAAAATAAATAAAAATAAATAAAAATAAATAAAAATAAATAAAAATAAATAAAAATAAATAAAAATAAATAAAAATAAATAAAAATAAATAAAAATAAATAAAAATAAATAAAAATAAATAAAAATAAATAAAAATAAATAAAAATAAATAAAAATAAATAAAAATAAATAAAAATAAATAAAAATAAATAAAAATAAATAAAAATAAATAAAAATAAATAAAAATAAATAAAAATAAATAAAAATAAATAAAATTAAATAAAAATAAATAAAAATAAATAAAAATAAATAAAAATAAATAAAAATAAATAAAAATAAATAAAAATAAATAAAAATAAATAAAAATAAATAAAAATAAATAAAAATAAATAAAAATAAATAAAAATAAATAAAAATAAATAAAAATAAATAAAAATAAATAAAAATAAATAAAAATAAATAAAAATAAATAAAAATAAATAAAAATAAATAAAAATAAATAAAAATAAATAAAAATAAATAAAAATAAATAAAAATAAATAAAAATAAATAAAAATAAATAAAAATAAATAAAAATAAATAAAAATAAATAAAAATAAATAAAAATAAATAAAAATAAATAAAAATAAATAAAAATAAATAAAAATAAATAAAAATAAATAAAAATAAATAAAAATAAATAAAAATAAATAAAAATAAATAAAAATAAATAAAAATAAATAAAAATAAATAAAAATAAATAAAAATAAATAAAAATAAATAAAAATAAATAAAAATAAATAAAAATAAATAAAAATAAATAAAAATAAATAAAAATAAATAAAAATAAATAAAAATAAATAAAAATAAATAAAAATAAATAAAAATAAATAAAAATAAATAAAAATAAATAAAAATAAATAAAAATAAATAAAAATAAATAAAAATAAATAAAAATAAATAAAAATAAATAAAAATAAATAAAAATAAATAAAAATAAATAAAAATAAATAAAAATAAATAAAAATAAATAAAAATAAATAAAAATAAATAAAAATAAATAAAAATAAATAAAAATAAAAAAAATAAATAAAAATAAATAAAAATAAATAAAAATAATTAAAAATAAATAAAAATGGATAAAAATAAATAAAAATAAATAAAAATAAATAAAAATAAATAAAAATAAATAAAAATAAATAAAAATAAATAAAAATAAATAAAAATAAATAAAAATAAATAAAAATAAATAAAAATAAATAAAAATAAATAAAAATAAATAAAAATAAATAAAAATAAATAAAAATAAATAAAAATAAATAAAAATAAATAAAAATAAATAAAAATAAATAAAAATAAATAAAAATAAATAAAAATAAATAAAAATAAATAAAAATAAATAAAAATAAATAAAAATAAATAAAAATAAATAAAAATAAATAAAAATAAATAAAAATAAATAAAAATAAATAAAAATAAATAAAAATAAATAAAAATAAATAAAAATAAATAAAAATAAATAAAAATAAATAAAAATAAATAAAAATAAATAAAAATAAATAAAAATAAATAAAAATAAATAAAAATAAATAAAAATAAATAAAAATAAATAAAAATAAATAAAAATAAATAAAAATAAATAAAAATAAATAAAAATAAATAAAAATAAATAAAAATAAATAAAAATAAATAAAAATAAATAAAAATAAATAAAAATAAATAAAAATAAATAAAAATAAATAAAAATAAATAAAAATAAATAAAAATAAATAAAAATAAATAAAAATAAATAAAAATAAATAAAAATAAATAAAAATAAATAAAAATAAATAAAAATAAATAAAAATAAATAAAAATAAATAAAAATAAATAAAAATAAATAAAAATAAATAAAAATAAATAAAAATAAATAAAAATAAATAAAAATAAATAAAAATAAATAAAAATAAATAAAAATAAATAAAAATAAATAAAAATAAATAAAAATAAATAAAAATAAATAAAAAACACATTTTATTCGACACATTTTTTTCATATCTTCATTGCTAACGAAAATACTGTAAAAAATTCAATTTTTAGTTTTCGTCAAATTTTCTCCATTGCGGTTCGTTATAGAGAAATCATGTATACGACAAAAATTGTAGAGAATGACATCACAACAAACAACTTTTACTTAAATAATTTTCTTCTTTAATCGTAAGTAACGCAAAAACGCATAAAGTCATGGTTCCCTTATCTTTCCTTACTGGTTATATTAAAGTAGAAATAAACTTCGTTCTAATGTCAGTAATTTTTCAGGTCCAGTGTTACAAATCCGCAGGTTACTGTTGGTGTGTCAATGAAGATACAGGCAAGAATATTCCGGGTACTTCTGTCAAGAATGGCACGCCCAATTGTGATCACTTGAAAACAAACACCAGGGTCATGAAGGGTTGTCCCGATGATAAGAAATTCATATTTTTGAAGGATCTGCTCAACTTTTTGCACAATAAAATGTCAGAAATCACGAACGGTACAAATACTAGGTACGGTATGCTTACATATTTTTACATTTTGAACTTAGAATTCGGTGATAGGGTGTTAAAAACGACTTAAGGTGTCTCACGAACCGCCTCCGAACATTAACCGACAATATTAATTGAATCGCTTAACTGAAACACACCTGTGTTCAAGGCCTTGAACTTTATATGAAATTAATATTAATTTGCTTTCTCCTGCATACGTTTTAAAACCAAATGTTCAATTTCACGAGATGGTGAACATAAAACATCATATTTGGTAATGTCTCAAAATGCACTTCGAGGTTAATGTACTAAGCTCCCAGTGATCACCTCGAAAAACTGGAACAATCTGAGCTCAGCTCTTTTATGCATTGCGCACATGGCGTTGGCGGCTTCAGCTATATCTGTCGAATTGTAACTATCTCTTAATTCATAAATTATTATTTATAAATAACGTTTTTTTCAGCAGCTTCAACAATCTTGCTTGGATAGAGTCGAAAGAAGAACAAGTCGCGACGTGGAGTTTCGTCATTTTCGACAAGAACAAAAACAAAATGTTGGAAAGGGCCGAGTGGAAGGCCTTCAAGGACATGGTGGGCGGCGTGAAGGGATTGAGAAAGTGCGGTAAAAAGTTACCGAGGTACTGTGATACCAACAAAGATAGACAGATCAGTATGACGGAGTGGTTGGAGTGTCTTAGTGTAAGACAAGGTAAGATAAATTATTATTCCATCTAAGGTAATTTCATATATGTTGTGATACAAGGTATAATAACAATAACAATTAAAATCTGAAATGAAAGGATTGTTTTGTCGATTTAATTATGTGCTTCAAAGGTAAAGAGTTTGCGTTACACCAATATGCGTGAAAGTGTTATCATAGTAATCCCAATATTGTAAATTTGATAGTGGGCATACAATTAAAGGTTACAAAGTTAGTTTTAAAAACCGTTGATGTAGGATGGAAAGGAGATAGACCGTCAGCTAATGACCGAATTAGGTGCCCAATTTTCACATACAAGCCTCGAAGCGGGTTGAAAGTACATCGATCTTAAGTAAAATAAAAGGAAGTGGCTCTTGGGGATAACATATAGAAATTCGATTTTTCTTAACAGAAATATTTTCTGACCCCAAAATGCACTTATCTATTCGGGTCATTCAAACCAATAAGTTTTTCGGATTAGTGACTATGTATTTTTTCATACATTCGATGGGCTTGTGTGGAAAATTGGTTAAAATGTCGATTTTTTCCTTATAAGATAACGCCCTTATTTCAATCCTTTAGCCACTTGCAACAATAAAGCCTTTGGTTTTCCGAAGCCTAGTTCTATTAGTTAATCATTTGGTGAACACGGTTTGCTTGAAAATTATGGGCAAAAAATATCTTTAATTTTTGTTAAGGAAAATCTAATTTTCCTTATGTTATCTCCAGGAGCCACTCGTAAATTTCCTTTCATTCTACTCAAAATTCACCTAAACCTGTTACTAGAGCTGATGGTTTAAGATTTAAGATGACACCTACACATGTATCGTTCTCAACATAAAATAGGACCACTAGGCGTGACTTTATTAGAAATAACCAAGTAATAACAATAAAGCGGAATTATCGGGGTTATATTTAAATTTTTTGTGACTAACAGCATTCACAATAGAAAAATAAATTTTCTAGATTATAGTGTTTTATTGTACAATAATTATCGTGGGCGTAGCCAGACTTTGATTCAGGGAGAGGGGGGGGGGCAGCATGAATACTAGTCTTTGATTTAGGCACTCGGAAGCAGGAAGTAAACCGAAATCAGTTTTAAGGAAGTGGCAAGAAGTGAAAGTAGAAATTTTATTTTAATAATGATTTGAAGACGCAGTACAAAAAATCTAAAATAAAGTTAACCTTCTTGTTTTCTTTTCTGCGAATTTTTTCAAAACCATTTTCTGGAAGTTGTCTGATACTAGATTTCTATGTAGACTGATCATACGCAGCCCTCTTATTCTTTCTTACGCCATTGTGGACCTCAGCAGGGTTTTACTATCCTGAGGATGTTGACCCTCTCAATGGAAGTAGTTGTGTGCGAGAATTTTTAATTGCTGGGTAAAAGTCGGTCTTAGCTAAAACGGACACGAAGTTTGAGGTTGGCATCTTCTTCATTCTTCAAAGTGCAAAACCGGTGCCACAGTTTTAATTTTTGGAAATTATAAAAAATATCCATTTCCACCTATATAATTATGAAAATTACACCTTCATATCCCCAAAGTTAAAACAAACCAAAGAAAAATTGAAAAAGCTGAGAATTAAAGAAAGAAAAAATGAGTGCTTCGGCCGGAAGTCGAACCCGAAACCTCGAACTTGAGCCGTTTATTTTCTGCAAATTGAGCTACCAACACACATACTTATGTATTGATATTCTAATTCGCAAATTTGAAGTAAATCAGATTCCAATTCTCGTCGGTACATACAAATTCTCATCCAATCTCAGTTACTTCGATTTTCCTTAAAGCCACCCTTTTTGACATCGTGTAGAAGGACTATAATTTATAATTATACTAGAACAAATTTTCCGAAAACTCATATTTATTTCTTTAATTCTCAGCTTTCTTAATTTTTCCTTGGTTTATTTTCATTTTAGGGATATAAGGGTTTAATTTCAAAGGGGAATTGGAGATTTTTCATTTTCATAATTTCTAAATAATGCATTTAGTTTTCGGTTTTAAACAGATTTTCTCACTTCACTTTTCTTCCAATTCTGATCCGGAAGATTTAAAGATGTCTTCAGATAACTCTCTAACTTTGGTAGGGTAAAGATCCTGTAGTTCAAAGGTCGGCCCCTGCTTGCCACTGAAACGCTCCTTCAAAGAATTACAAAAATATTCTAAGTATGGTATTAAAACAGATATTTTGAAGTACTCTTCAGGTGTTGATACTAGTGGGTTGGCAAGGAATTACTGTTTTGTTGTTAATCGGGACATACTTATTTCTAGATCCACTTCCATGATCATTGCTCGCATCTCATTCATGATAGCTTCCACTGTCTCCTCCGCTAGTTTTACGATATGTTCCAATTGCTCTGAATATTTAACCAAATCTATTGCAACTGCCTTTAAATCTAGATTAGCAACGGAACTTCAGAAGCAATTTTGATTTTTTTTTATTTCTATTGCAACTGCCTTTAAATTTAGATTAGCAACGTAACTTCAGAAGCAATTTTGATTTTTTTTATTTGTTAAGATTATTTTTTAAATAACCCCAAGAAGGTTTTGAAATCGAAATTCAACGACTTTAAGACATTTTCAAAGCTTGCGGCGATTGAACAGCTGCCCCCCCCCCCCCCCTTAGCTATGCCCGCTATAATTATATGCGTATAGATCATGAATGTATATTACTGTATAAAATCAAAGTATGTGATATTACTCATATTACTCATGGAGATGCCATGAGGTAATTGTTTCCCATAAGATATGTGTTGTTAAAAATGTCCCCCACTGGGCGTGGCTTAAATGGTAGTCTAAGCAGGGTCGTATTTAGTTCTAATTAAACTCGCCTTTGCAGAATTACAATTTTTAAATGAGTTATATACCTAAGATTTGTTTCAACGTATCTAATTCAAAATTAATCCAATTTATTACGCTAGTGTGACTTCTACATTATTTGTTGACTCTTTTGCGACTTAATTAGATTAGATAAATATTGACAAGTCCACCTTAAACATGACTTGTTCTATAATCACTATCTTTAGGTTTAGTCAGATACATTAGTTAGATATTAATATATTTATCGACTGTGCTGCATGATATTCGGAAAATATGAATTATTTTAAAGCAAATTTTACAGTTTCTAATAATAATTTTTCACATTCTAAACAAATTTGTGTTATATGTTTTGATGTGTTTTCAAAAAATTTGTATTCTTTATATTCTGAACATTTAACATTTTCTAAACATGCAGAATATGTAACTAATAAATATAATGAAAATAATGAGTACATACCTTAGAGAATAGTCAAAATCTACAAATCGATTATCTTACATTTAAATTACTGTTCATCTATATTTGTAGAGCACTACCGCAAAAAGTGTACTTCAAAAAAGCAGAATCATGCCTTGCCTCGTATTATAGGATGTTATCGTTATACAAGTATGTATATTGAAACCATGTTACAAGCAACAGAATTATTGAGTGATAATGTTATTTCTAAATACAATGACTCTTGTATATAAAATAAAACATAAATTACTTCCTGAACATTTATTAAGAACAATAGATATATAACAGATGTGCATAACTATCTGACCTGAGGCAGATAATACTTATATTTCTACAGTTACTACCAACCATAGAAATAATATAGAAGACCAATATAAACATAACATTTAAGCAGAAATTGAAACCTACTGTGCATAAAAACGTGTCTCTGCGCCTGACATCGCAAAATAGTGTGTCTAGAAGCTTGCGCAATATGCATGACTTGTCCCTGTAGTGTTGCCAAATATATTAAACATACCTAACAGAAAAGAATTTTAAATTAATTAATTTTTAAATTATATGATTTAAACAGTTTATATCTACGAAATATCGCCACAAAATAACTTATACACATTTAAATAATCAACTAATAATATTTATGTGTAATTACATTCCCAAAAATATATACAAATACCGTATTAATGTCATTAATACCGTATTTTTAATGTTCAATAAGCGATTCACCTACAAATTCAATATTGACCTGGCAATAGCACTAAAATCCGGTGTTTCAAGGCTATATGACGCTGCCCTTACAGGACCGTTTGTAGTTTATTATTTATGCCGCGTTTGAGAATCCACATCGGATGCATCTGAGATGTAGTAAGTAGTAAATCTTTGATCACGTGATTCAGTATACGTAAATGTAATGGGACAGATGTGTCCGATGTGGATAAAAAACGCTCGAGATGTAAAAAATGCATCCGATGTGGATTCTCAAACGCGGCATTAATTACACGATGAAAGTGGCATTTTATTTTTAGTTTTGTGTAGTGTTTAGTCAAATCCTAGGTACAATAAAAGACATTTTTACATTGGCTAATGAAAATGTAATCAATGTATTAGGCAGCTGTTATATTTATTACAAGATTTATGTCTGCAAATCTAAACCTACCTAAGAATTATAATTATGTAAATAGAGAGCTGTATATTTATATACAGGCTGCCCAGCGACGGGGAGACATTATCGATATCGGTTTTAAGGCATTTTAAAACATAAACCCGATCTCAACAATCTTAGGAACTCTTCTGTCACTCGATATTTAAATCGGTACTTCCTCTTCGCTTTTTGGCTGGCACAACAATTATTTACATTTCTTCATTCCTTACCGCGTTCGAACCAGTAAGGTTTAAAGAAATTTAAAAAAAAAACCTACTTTAAAAATAAAGATGTTAATGATTTTCTTATGGATCCCATCTTCAGATCTTGACTTAATGTATATAAAACTGTTTCCTTTTCTAACAAAAATAATCCTAGAAATCGGGCAACGTGGTAAAGAATTATCGCTCAACATACATAAAAAAATATTTCAACGAATTGAGAATATCCTACCATTTTGAAGTATGTTAAAAAAAATTGTTAATAAAGTGAAAAGTAGGGCATGAACATATATTATAAAGTATATAAAATGATAGATAAATCCAGTTTAGAAGGTATTATAAATAAACTGTGGAAATAACGAGAATCTCGATTTTGAATCGGAAAAATATTCTACGCAATTTAGTATGAAAGCTGATCAAAATGAAACACATGAACGACAAACTGTTATTGACAACTTTCTTCAAACGTTTTCTATTTTTCCGAAAACTAACTAGATAGTTCGAAAATCATTTCCTTCGTTAAAACGCCTCTTGTTCCGAAAAAGGTACACGCCTGCCAACATTCATTTCATTAAAAAAGTGGTAGATACAAAACGCTTCGTATTGTAAGGCCAAAATATATTTAGAAATCGAAATAGTCATATAAACAAAAAAATCATATGAGTGAGATAACTACCAAATTAATGATTTACAAGTTTATTCCTATTATTTATAAAATGTGCAATGTGCTGGTGTGGAATGTTATCATCGACTAAAAACTTTAAATCTTTGTATTAAATTGATCTAAAACAAACTATAAATTGATTTAGGCTATATAGAATGTTTCTAGTAAGCAGCAACTAATTTTTATTATGGAACCGAAAGACCCTTTTAAAAAGGTTCAAAATTAAAATAAAATATGTACCAAGTAAATGTAGTAGTATTTTTTAATTTTTTAATTTATATTGAAAATGGTAACATGAAAGGTTTTCTGTCTAACGACTCATAGTCTCGGCTGACAAAATGTAAAAAAATATCGAACATAATATTCCTGGGCCCTATTTTGCACTCCCCAGATTAAATTTAGTTGTAGCAAATGATATTATCAAATAAGATGTCAAATCACAAGCAAAATCTCGTGACTACAGTACTAATGATTGCCTGTTTGGAAAAGTATTTTTGTTTGTAAATATTTATATGCATAGTTATATTTAAATGCGCGAGTGTAATGTTAAGTATAAACAAAATCCGCCCATTATGTATATACGTTTAGTTACCGACCCTAGTAGATAGGCAATTTGTTATTGTTTTAAGTTTTACCGTAGGGAGAGAGAAAATCAATATTAGGATAAATGGTCCAGCTCCTTTCTGGTTACGTAGGTACCTAAAAAGTATTTTAGTTTTTGGTTAAGTAATTAATTATTTAACAGTGATTTTCTTGTGATAGTACCTAATTTAGATTGTGGATTAAAGTTTTTGTATATAATTTCGCTGTTTAATAATAAACGTAGTCAAAACCGGAGCACGTGGTTTTTCTGGAAAGTATTTTTAATATCACAAGCAAAATCTCATGACTACTGTACTAATGATTGCCGAAAATTAACTAATTCATATTTTATGCCATATCTTTCTTAATAAGGACTGTCAGAACCATATTTACCTTAACTTGAAATTTTTTTAATCGTTTTTTGTATAGAATCATCTCTAAAAATGTATGATTGAAATATCGTGCGAACTATTTGTTCGATCAATAAAAAACTTGCACCGGTCCTGTTCGCGCCAGCACGGTTATACGCATGAGCTCCGACACACTATTTTCTCCTTATGGTTTCATTTTTGATATAAGGAATCGGCTTTCTATACTATTTCTATGATACCAACTGATCTTTTCGACAATGGACTTTTCAATACAATAATTTGCCTCATAGTGTGAAGAACTTAAACATTATTCAGATATGTAAGAGAAGATGTACTTTAAATTGTATAGATAATATTAACGTTATTATAGTTTTTTAATGACAGTTAATAAAATTGTTAGCAAATAAATTTATTTTTTAAATAATAAAAAACAATCAGAAATGTAAGTAATTATTGTTAGTACAGCACTATATTTATCATTTAAGTTTTATTATAAAGTTAAAATTAGTTGTTTAAATTTTATTATAAATAGTTAGTTATTTAAGTTTTACTGTAAATACCATTATTTTATGCTACACTAAACAGTAATTTAATGTCGGAACAACGTTCTTCTTTAATCTGATCCTAAACTCACTTTTATCTAAAAATTCGTCCTAAAAATTAATTGATCACAACAGAATATTTGGTTTAGACCTCCACAAATTAAATTTTAAGATATCTTATATTTGAAAATCGTACTATAAGTAAAAAATAGGAATTATGAAAAAGTACAGTCCTTAAACTTACTTCTGAAAACTTAAAACGGACTTTTTCTTTCGTTTCTTCATTGTGTATTTTGTATAATTAGGTTTGGTACACTTGGTCAAGATGTTTATGTAAAATAATAAATAAAAAAGGACAGAATTAACGCTGAAATATTTAAGTTTTGAAAAAAAAAAAATTGACAGCTCTTCGACAACTATAACATTGCTTCTAAGGGAGGGGAAAGGCTGTCGTTTTTTTTTTTGGCATGTCATCTCCATATTATTCAACCTCATTGGTTTAGATCGAAGGTTGTAGAAGTTGTATAACATAATAATATTGGTTGTCTCCAGAATATATAATAATATTCGATATTTTGTGCAAGATTATTTAATGAAATGGTTTTTTTTAGGTATTTCCAGTATTCCCAGTATTTCTTCTTCGCCCAGAGCTGGAAAGACCAATCCTCTCAGTATGTTAAAAGACGACTAACTACTCTATTACAAAAAAATAGAAAAGTGTTGCAGTGTTTCTGTTGGTAGAATTATTTCTGTGGACAAACATAAGTTTGATTTTTTATTTGTTTTCGACAGACTTTGGCTGCGAAGCCTTCTTCTCGACATTTTGTGATTATAGTTTAATGTACAGCTTATATTTTCCTTTTTTTTTTAGTGTACAAGGTGCAAATTATATGTATATATTAAAAAATATAAAGACGGTGCATAATGTTCCAGATGTGTATAAATTTATTGATTACCTTTTTTCGTCGCAAAATATTATTTCATGTATTAAGTTTATAATAAAATATTTGTTAGGAATCAGTAGTATATTACTTAACTGATGTGGAAAGTAAAGTATTTCGCGCGTGTGCGGAAACGCTAGAGTCCAGGAAATACATTTTCAAATAGTGCAATATATTTTTCCTACGACCACACTGCGCTAAATGATGTATTATAGTAGTGTAAAATGTGTCGTCTGCATTCCAATTTTAAGGAGCTTTAGTTTTTGTGAAGTTGTGTGTTCAAATGAATAATAATAATTACTGCTTATGAATAATCGCTATTTATTTATTTATTAAGAGTGGAAAGTGCTCATATTACACAAGATTTTTTCTACAATAACACTATATTACCAAATTCAAATTTTACTTCAATGTTTATTTGACCGACACCGTTAGCGAATCGTGTATTATGTTGTTTTACCTACTTGCGTGCAGATTGAAAACGGGAATAGTATATTATTAAACGAGCAATTTATGGTAGCCATTATTCACGCACGGTGACGTTTGCGTCCCGAGCCGTAGGCGAGGGGCGCAAGTCACCCGAGTGAATATTGGCCATAAATTGCGAGTCTAATACTATACTTTGTCCACGACCTTTATGGTTTCTTTATTAAATAAAAGTTAAGTGTAGAATGGAAAATTTTATTAAACATAGGTAACTAACTGTTGTTTTTTCCACTTTTTAACTTTTCGATTTTCGATTTTCGATTTTCGATTTTCGATTTTCGATTTTCGATTTTCGATTTTCGATTTTCGATTTTCGATTTTCGATTTTCGATTTTCGATTTTCGATTTTCGATTTTCGATTTTCGATTTTCGATTTTCGATTTTCGATTTTCGATTTTCGATTTTCGATTTTCGATTTTCGATTTTCGATTTTCGATTTTCGATTTTCGATTTTCGATTTTCGATTTTCGATTTTCGATTTTCGATTTTCGATTTTCGATTTTCGATTTTCGATTTTCGATTTTCGATTTTCGATTTTCGATTTTCGATTTTCGATTTTCGATTTTCGATTTTCGATTTTCGATTTTCGATTTTCGATTTTCGATTTTCGATTTTCGATTTTCGATTTTCGATTTTCGATTTTCGATTTTCGATTTTCGATTTTCGATTTTCGATTTTCGATTTTCGATTTTCGATTTTCGATTTTCGATTTTCGATTTTCGATTTTCGATTTTCGATTTTCGATTTTCGATTTTCGATTTTCGATTTTCGATTTTCGATTTTCGATTTTCGATTTTCGATTTTCGATTTTCGATTTTCGATTTTCGATTTTCGATTTTCGATTTTCGATTTTCGATTTTCGATTTTCGATTTTCGATTTTCGATTTTCGATTTTCGATTTTCGATTTTCGATTTTCGATTTTCGATTTTCGATTTTCGATTTTCGATTTTCGATTTTCGATTTTCGATTTTCGATTTTCGATTTTCGATTTTCGATTTTCGATTTTCGATTTTCGATTTTCGATTTTCGATTTTCGATTTTCGATTTTCGATTTTCGATTTTCGATTTTCGATTTTCGATTTTCGATTTTCGATTTTCGATTTTCGATTTTCGATTTTCGATTTTCGATTTTCGATTTTCGATTTTCGATTTTCGATTTTCGATTTTCGATTTTCGATTTTCGATTTTCGATTTTCGATTTTCGATTTTCGATTTTCGATTTTCGATTTTCGATTTTCGATTTTCGATTTTCGATTTTCGATTTTCGATTTTCGATTTTCGATTTTCGATTTTCGATTTTCGATTTTCGATTTTCGATTTTCGATTTTCGATTTTCGATTTTCGATTTTCGATTTTCGATTTTCGATTTTCGATTTTCGATTTTCGATTTTCGATTTTCGATTTTCGATTTTCGATTTTCGATTTTCGATTTTCGATTTTCGATTTTCGATTTTCGATTTTCGATTTTCGATTTTCGATTTTCGATTTTCGATTTTCGATTTTCGATTTTCGATTTTCGATTTTCGATTTTCGATTTTCGATTTTCGATTTTCGATTTTCGATTTTCGATTTTCGATTTTCGATTTTCGACTTTTCGATTTTCGATTTTCGATTTTCGATTTTCGATTTTCGATTTTCGATTTTCGATTTTCGATTTTCGATTTTCGATTTTCGATTTTCGATTTTCGATTTTCGATTTTCGATTTTCGATTTTCGATTTTCGATTTTCGATTTTCGATTTTCGATTTTCGATTTTCGATTTTCGATTTTCGATTTTCGATTTTCGATTTTCGATTTTCGATTTTCGATTTACGATTTACGATTTTCGATTTTCGATTTTCGATTTTCGATTTTTCGATTTTTCGATTTTTCGATTTTTCGATTTTTCGATTTTTCGATTTTTCGATTTTTCGATTTTTCGATTTTTCGATTTTTCGATTTATTTTTCGATCTAGAAAATATGCTTATGAAAAGTATCGCCTATCTTTAGATATCTGCCGGAATGTGCCAGAATTACAAAAGCGTGAATTATCATAATTCACTCCGTGATATATGGGTACCATATGCTTTTAGTTAGGAGGTAGAATATTGATTTATTATTAAGTGGTCGTGGACAAAATCTATTTATAATATTTCAATAATTATCGTTTAAATATTAAGGGAGATGGGTTTGATTATTTCCGTTGCCTGTCAACTTTGACATTTTAACAAATCACATCGCAATTTAGAATCAATCAGAATCAAATAAATCGACTATTTTTCACTGACTCTCTTATATGCATGGTGCTTGATATCCATATATGTTGACAGCAATTCGCATACTTGATAATAGGTGTAATATTTAATAACCGCTACTGTGAAATATATTTATTGTCAGAGTACCAAGTATCTCGTGGAATGTTTCAAAATGAATCGAAAATAACAGTTTTTTTAGGGCTCTAGAAATAATCTAATACTCCTTTCCACATTTAATAAAGAAGTATACGACTTATTAGTACAATTCTTAAGTAAATATCATACAAGGATTTAAAACAAAAGAATATTGAAAACCTAAGCAACGACAACTTTTAATTTTTCTTTGGTAAAAAGACAAAAGTCTAATGCCAATTATTCTACAAAAAATAATCTCATAAAATATAACTCGACCTTGATAAATTTCCGCCCATTTCTATTGTTACTAAATTTTTCGTGTATTTTTCTCGACCTAATTTTGTCATTAATAATCAAAGAATAAGAGTACTCGAGCAAAAGCTCTCGGACTCTATTCAGATTATTAATGACCAAAGTATGTCTCGACAAATTGATATCAAAAACACTCAAAATTTAGATATACTAAAAATAGTCGACTATTTATCAAGGTCTCGTTTATCAAGTTCTTGTTTATCAAGATCTTGTTTATCAAGGTCTCGTTATATTACCCTTGAATATTAGATGTTCAACTAAAGAGCTAAAATATTCAGATTTGTCTACATTTTGTTTTAAAAATACGAATTAGCTTTAATAAAGACCACCTTTCTTTTATTTGGGTACTACAAGCTCAAAGTAACTTTGGCGCACTAGAATCAAATTATGACAAATCGCGGAAAACTTCAACTTTCCAGTTAGAATTGAATGTGCAAAAACCTACTTTGGATAGTGATCGGAGAAAGGCGTACTTTTCAGCTCATAAATGGTATGGTCATTATTTTCAAATTAAATAAAAACAAGAATGTATATACGGGGTGACAATTTAAAAACTTACAATGCCTATATACATCTCATGAACTAAAAATGATAGCAAAAAAGTAATAAAGCCGTTTCTCGGACACTAAGAGGGAATTTAAATGCCGAAATACAGCACTGTCCCCACGAACCCACTAAGCGCCACCAATATTAACAAAAAAAAATAAACTAAATAGCAACCCCTATTTCTCATACATCATTGGAAAGCATTTAAAATAGTAGTTTATTTTATAAGGACGAAAGTTGAGTTTCCGGGCGTTACTTTTTATTCGAATGTGCTTATAGATATTAAAAAATTAAATCCAAAATGATATTATTTCCAATTTTTCTTATAACTGAGATGGATGTGATCGATAAGAATGACTAGGTAAGGTATATTCTTAATGACAATTGAAAAATTGCTATCATGTTAGTGTGCTTATGTCAAATCCATTTAATTATAGTTTATTTAGTTTTCTCTTATTCAATAAAGAACGTTTTTATTAAAATTTGATGTACATATGGATTATGGACTACTATTTTACCTACAATAGCAAAAAAATATCGCCAGCAGTATTAACCCAGACAACACACCAAATCCCAGAGATATCCACAGAATATCTTTTGTGGATATCCAATATATCCACAGGATATCAGAAATATTCCGTGGATCTAATATGGATATCCAAATGTCCGTCTATATCCAGAATATAGAAGATATCCTAATGGATATCCAGCAAAATATCTAATGGGTATCTTCCAGACAATATAAGAAATCCCAGAGATATACACAGAATATATTTTGTGGATATTCAATATGGATATCCAACCAAATGTCTGTCTATATCCCAGGATATAGAAGATATTCGGATATTCAGCAAAATATTTTATGTGTATCTTTATAGTAGAGGTTCGTTCATAAGTAACCAATGATTATTGAATAACGTCGAAAGAAAATAGCAGAGATAAAAAATATTTTCAACACTCAAAATATTTTCAATACTCTGCCTTTGATTTTGCCCACTAAGGAGAAAGTCATCCTTATTAGGACTCTTCAGCAATAAATGGAAATTCTCGACTCCAGTCTCTAATGGAGTCTGATTAGGACACAAATTTCGATCGAACTCAATTACGGCGGGTCTAGCATGAGTAGATGCAAAAGTGGTATCGCCATCTATACTTAATAAGCAAAATCAAATTACATCTAGTGGATATCCACGGTGGTTTGCGTTCGCGCCTAGACCACAGTTTATAGCTAAAGAATCAGTTCGCTCACTCTGCGTCGGCACTTTTGATCTCAATGTTCCAGTTTATACATTGCGCAACTCCGATTTGTATCCCTGGCGCATACAGAATCAAATCATAATAGCCCAAGAGCTCACTGTACATTTTTACCGCGATCTGATAATGAAATACAATATACCCCAAAAGCTTGTAAAAACATTGTACTTTGGCGAATGGCACCTGTGACAATCCCAATCCTGAGCAGTGTTTTAAAAAAAATTATATTAAAAAAATCACATACGGCATGACAGCGTTAATTTTGTTTGCACTTAAAGTTTTCCAGATAATAACATATTCAAATATATCTTGATATATATCGTTAACGGGAAACATTTTCTTCCTCTTAACATCGCACAAAAACATCTACACACGATTAGTAGGTAAAAATCATTCAAAATATGAATCAATTTTTGCTGATTTAAGAATTTATTTGTATGCCTATTGTTGTGATTCATTTTTACAGGTTGTCATAGAAACGACAAAAAACTACTATGATTATGGTTTAAAAGAATTGTCTAACAAGAGTTTATAATTATTATTGACTATCTCTGCCAAAGTTAGGTAAACATATTAATAATTCAGGTTTAAAAGCTAGGTTCACAATGAATTAGGATTGTAATTTTCAGAGAAAACACAATTATCGCTGTCATGTCTTATGTAATTGTTTGAATATTAAATAATTTTTTTTAACCACTTTGCTCTAGATTACAAATTGGCA